ATTCGCCAGCCCTAATCCGACCCCTCTCCCCCTCCGCCTCCCTCCCACCCTGCTTGTAATGAGTCGAGTTTTGAGTCGGCTCAGAATTCGCCAGCCCTAATCCGACCCCTCTCCCCCTCCGCCTCCCTCCCACCCTGCTTGTAATGAGTCGAGTTTTGAGTCGGCTCAGAATTCGCCAGCCCTAATCCGACCCCTCTCCCCCTCCGCCTCCCTCCCACCCTGCTTGTAATGAGTCGAGTTTTGAGTCGGCTCAGAATTCGCCAGCCCTAATCCGACCCCTCTCCCCCTCCGCCTCCCTCCCACCCTGCTTGTAATGAGTCGAGTTTTGAGTCGGCTCAGAATTCGCCAGCCCTAATCCGACCCCTCTCCCCCTCCGCCTCCCTCCCACCCTGCTTGTAATGAGTCGAGTTTTGAGTCGGCTCAGAATTCGCCAGCCCTAATCCGACCCCTCTCCCCCTCCGCCTCCCTCCCACCCTGCTTGTAATGAGTCGAGTTTTGAGTCGGCTCAGAATTCGCCAGCCCTAATCCGACCCCTCTCCCCCTCCGCCTCCCTCCCACCCTGCTTGTAATGAGTCGAGTTTTGAGTCGGCTCAGAATTCGCCAGCCCTAATCCGACCCCTCTCCCCCTCCGCCTCCCTCCCACCCTGCTTGTAATGAGTCGAGTTTTGAGTCGGCTCAGAATTCGCCAGCCCTAATCCGACCCCTCTCCCCCTCCGCCTCCCTCCCACCCTGCTTTAATGAGTCGAGTTTTGAGTCGGCTCAGAATTCGCCAGCCCTAATCCGACCCCTCTCCCCCTCCGCCTCCCTCCCACCCTGCTTGTAATGAGTCTAGTTTTGAGTCGGCTCAGAATTCGCCAGCCCTAATCCGACCCCTCTCCCCCTCCGCCTCCCTCCCACCCTGCTTGTAATGAGTCGAGTTTTGAGTCGGCTCAGAATTCGCCAGCCCTAATCCGACCCCTCTCCCCCTCCGCCTCCCTCCCACCCTGCTTGTAATGAGTCGAGTTTTGAGTCGGCTCAGAATTCGCCAGCCCTAATCCGACCCCTCTCCCCCTCCGCCTCCCTCCCACCCTGCTTGTAATGAGTCGAGTTTAGAGTCGGCTCAGAATTCGCCAGCCCTAATCCGACCCCTCTCCCCCTCCGCCTCCCTCCCACCCTGCTTGTAATGAGTCGAGTTTTGAGTGGGCTCAGAATTCGCCAGCCCTAATCCGACCCCTCTCCCCCTCCGCCTCCCTCCCACCCTGCTTGTAATGAGTCGAGTTTTGAGTCGGCTCAGAATTCGCCAGCCCTAATCCGACCCCTCTCCCCCTCCGCCTCCCTCCCACCCTGCTTGTAATGAGTCGAGTTTTGAGTCGGCTCAGAATTCGCCAGCCCTAATCCGACCCCTCTCCCCCTCCGCCTCCCTCCCACCCTGCTTGTAATGAGTCGAGTTTTGAGTCGGCTCAGAATTCGCCAGCCCTAATCCGACCCCTCTCCCCCTCCGCCTCCCTCCCACCCTGCTTGTAATGAGTCGAGTTTTGAGTCGGCTCAGAATTCGCCAGCCCTAATCCGACCCCTCTCCCCCTCCGCCTCCCTCCCACCCTGCTTGTAATGAGTCGAGTTTTGAGTGGGCTCAGAATTCGCCAGCCCTAATCCGACCCCTCTCCCCCTCCGCCTCCCTCCCACCCTGCTTGTAATGAGTCGAGTTTTGAGTGGGCTCAGAATTCGCCAGCCCTAATCCGACCCCTCTCCCCCTCCGCCTCCCTCCCACCCTGCTTGTAATGAGTCGAGTTTTGAGTGGGCTCAGAATTCGCCAGCCCTAATCCGACCCCTCTCCCCCTCCGCCTCCCTCCCACCCTGCTTGTAATGAGTCGAGTTTTGAGTGGGCTCAGAATTCTCCAGCCCTAATCCGACCCCTCTCCCCCTCCGCCTCCCTCCCACCCTGCTTGTAATGAGTCGAGTTTTGAGTCGGCTCAGAATTCGCCAGCCCTAATCCGACCCCTCTCCCCCTCCGCCTCCCTCCCACCCTGCTTGTAATGAGTCGAGTTTTGAGTCGGCTCAGAATTCGCCAGCCCTAATCCGACCCCTCTCCCCCTCCGCCTCCCTCCCACCCTGCTTGTAATGAGTCGAGTTTTGAGTCGGCTCAGAATTCGCCAGCCCTAATCCGACCCCTCTCCCCCTCCGCCTCCCTCCCACCCTGCTTGTAATGAGTCGAGTTTTGAGTCGGCTCAGAATTCGCCAGCCCTAATCCGACCCCTCTCCCCCTCCGCCTCCCTCCCACCCTGCTTGTAATGAGTCGAGTTTTGAGTCGGCTCAGAATTCGCCAGCCCTAATCCGACCCCTCTCCCCCTCCGCCTCCCTCCCACCCTGCTTGTAATGAGTCGAGTTTTGAGTCGGCTCAGAATTCGCCAGCCCTAATCCGACCCCTCTCCCCCTCCGCCTCCCTCCCACCCTGCTTGTAATGAGTCGAGTTTTGAGTCGGCTCAGAATTCGCCAGCCCTAATCCGACCCCTCTCCCCCTCCGCCTCCCTCCCACCCTGCTTGTAATGAGTCGAGTTTTGAGTCGGCTCAGAATTCGCCAGCCCTAATCCGACCCCTCTCCCCCTCCGCCTCCCTCCCACCCTGCTTGTAATGAGTCGAGTTTTGAGTCGGCTCAGAATTCGCCAGCCCTAATCCGACCCCTCTCCCCCTCCGCCTCCCTCCCACCCTGCTTGTAATGAGTCGAGTTTTGAGTCGGCTCAGAATTCGCCAGCCCTAATCCGACCCCTCTCCCCCTCCGCCTCCCTCCCACCCTGCTTGTAATGAGTCGAGTTTTGAGTCGGCTCAGAATTCGCCAGCCCTAATCCGACCCCTCTCCCCCTCCGCCTCCCTCCCACCCTGCTTGTAATGAGTCGAGTTTTGAGTCGGCTCAGAATTCGCCAGCCCTAATCCGACCCCTCTCCCCCTCCGCCTCCCTCCCACCCTGCTTGTAATGAGTCGAGTTTTGAGTCGGCTCAGAATTCGCCAGCCCTAATCCGACCCCTCTCCCCCTCCGCCTCCCTCCCACCCTGCTTTTAATGAGTCGAGTTTTGAGTCGGCTCAGAATTCGCCAGCCCTAATCCGACCCCTCTCCCCCTCCGCCTCCCTCCCACCCTGCTTGTAATGAGTCGAGTTTTGAGTCGGCTCAGAATTCGCCAGCCCTAATCCGACCCCTCTCCCCCTCCGCCTCCCTCCCACCCTGCTTGTAATGAGTCGAGTTTTGAGTCGGCTCAGAATTCGCCAGCCCTAATCCGACCCCTCTCCCCCTCCGCCTCCCTCCCACCCTGCTTGTAATGAGTCGAGTTTTGAGTCGGCTCAGAATTCGCCAGCCCTAATCCGACCCCTCTCCCCCTCCGCCTCCCTCCCACCCTGCTTGTAATGAGTCGAGTTTAGAGTCGGCTCAGAATTCGCCAGCCCTAATCCGACCCCTCTCCCCCTCCGCCTCCCTCCCACCCTGCTTGTAATGAGTCGAGTTTTGAGTCGGCTCAGAATTCGCCAGCCCTAATCCGACCCCTCTCCCCCTCCGCCTCCCTCCCACCCTGCTTGTAATGAGTCGAGTTTTGAGTCGGCTCAGAATTCGCCAGCCCTAATCCGACCCCTCTCCCCCTCCGCCTCCCTCCCACCCTGCTTGTAATGAGTCGAGTTTTGAGTCGGCTCAGAATTCGCCAGCCCTAATCCGACCCCTCTCCCCCTCCGCCTCCCTCCCACCCTGCTTGTAATGAGTCGAGTTTTGAGTCGGCTCAGAATTCGCCAGCCCTAATCCGACCCCTCTCCCCCTCCGCCTCCCTCCCACCCTGCTTGTAATGAGTCGAGTTTTGAGTCGTGTCGGAGAATCATCCTCTGTTGCATCCCGTGGCTTGCCTTCTCCTTCCTGGACTCGCCCTCGCTCCCTTCTTCTTCTGAGCTCTGTTCCTGTGGTACCTTACCTGCTCTGCCTCAGCCACTACCAGAGGGATTCTGCCTCCCCCACGAATGGCTGCCCGCAGTGGCTTAGTCGCCTAAGCTGGAGTTAGCTGTCAAATGGCAACCTATATCCACTATTACGAGCAAACAAACGAGAGAACGAACTAAGCAGTGAGTTCCTAGCCTATTTGAATCTCTACCCCGTGCCGTGCAGTTCCCGTAAGTCACATTGGGCTCCGCCCGCTAGGCTTCAGGATTGGCCCTTCGGATTGCCCAGGGCTCGCCCTTGAATTTGTTCCACCCTGCGCCTCGCAAGTCCCTCGGTCACCACTCTGCGTTACTGCCCACGCACCGAACTCTCCTTCTACAGTGCTTCGAATGCCCCAACTACACCTACACTAGCGAGTAACTGAATATATTGCAACTAACAATCTATTCGGTGACAGCTGTCGGAGAATCATCCTCTGTTGCATCCCGTGGCTTGCCTTCTCCTTCCTGGACTCGCCCTCGCTCCCTTCTTCTTCTGAGCTCTGTTCCTGTGGTACCTTACCTGCTCTGCCTCAGCCACTACCTGCCCCCTCCAGAGCTCGTGCTCGGGTCTCCCGTGCACGTGTCACTGGACACTCTTGCTGAGGCCGGTTGCTTTCCACCACAGTCAGGTGATACCCTGTCTACTTTCTTCTCTGATTCCTCAGCACCAGCACTCTTGAACCCCTCAGGTCCTTCGTCTCCCTTCTCTGTTTGTCCGGTGCCACTTTCCGAGTATCCCCCTCTGCAGGTACGCTTCCTGTCCCCCTTGCACTGATGTAGCTGTCGTTTTTGCCGCCCTGCTTCAGTCGCTGCTTGTGCCTGTGGGTGTGCATTTCTCAACTCTGCTGCACGCATGACCTCCGCTGCTGCTGTTTTCTCCTCCTCCAGGCATTCTGCTGCCTTAGCTCCCTCCCATGCCACCCAGTTCTCAGCCCCTTTCATTCCTGCTGGTCCTGACAGCACCTCTGTTGCTGGCTGCATCGGCTCATCTTCCCATATTCCTCGCATAATCCACCTTACTGTCCTCATGGCCTTTCTTCCTTTTGGACTTATCGCACCTCCCATTGTATGCCCTACTTCTTCCCCTGCAGGCGGACACACCCATGCCCCCATTTCCTTGCTCTCACTTTCTGCTTCCTCCTGCTCCCAGGCTTTGTTCCACACTGGACCTTTCCATCCTCCTACCCGTAGGTCTCCTTGCCCCCAGTCGCACGCCATCTCTACTTCCATGCTCCTCCCACCCGTCTCCGTTCCTCTCACGGCTTCTTTCACCATTTTCTCCCCCAGCAGCTGTGGATGTTCCTCCCTCAGCTCCCTCACATGCTGGTTCGCCATCATCCTTCCCTGCACTTGCTTCTCTGCCTTAGGTGTACACGACCGTGCCCCCACCTTCTCGTCCTTCCCTTCTGCCTCTGCTGCTGCTGGTACACATGCTCCCGCCCCCACCTGCTCTTCCTTTCCCTCTGCCTTCGCTGCTGCTGTTACACACGCTCCCGCCCCCACCTGCTCTTCCTTTCCCTCTGCCTTCGCTGCTGCTGTTGCACACGCTCCCGCCCCCACCTGCTCGTTCTTCCCTTCCGCGCCGGCTGCTTCCAGTCCACACGCCCCTGCCCCCTTTTTCTCGTCCTTCTCTTCCCCTTCTGCTGCTGCCCATGCCCCCACCTTCTCGTCCGTCCCTTCCGTGCCTGCCGCTACTGGTTCATCCGCCCCTGCCCCCACCTTCTTGTCCTCCTCTTTCGTTTCTGGTGCTACTTGCACACACACCCATGCCCCCACCTTACTCACTTGCTTCCTTCGTCCGTCCCTGCCCCCACTGCGCCACCCCATGTCTTCATGGCGACGCAGCACCGCACAGGAGTACTTTGGCTCCTGCTCTTCTTCCTCCTCCTCCCCTTCCTTCCTCTCTGTCCTTCCTCCCATTGCCTGGAGTTGGGCTTTTAACCTTCCAATCTCGTCCTCAATTTCCCGGGTGACCTCTTTGGTTCACCTGCTCCCTGGTAGCATTTCCTGCCTTGATGCCCTCTTTTTCCACACTCCTCACAGGTCGGTGCGTTCGGACAGTCTTTTCGACAGGGTCTGGGCCTTCCGCACACATCACAGTTCTTACAGTCTCTCTGGATATGCCCTACCTGCCCGCACCTGTGGCACGTACGTGTCTCTGGTCGCTTCTCCTGCCACTGCTCCTCCCTGTCCCCGTCCTCAGGTATCATCACCATAGCCCACGTGGGCTGTCTCTTCTCTGACACCTTCGGCAGGTACGCCTCGTACCGCCTCTGCGCCAGCTCCACCCTCTCAGCGAGCTCGAACACCTCCTCTAGTGTAGCTTCTGTGCCCAACTCATACACTCGCATACACAACCCACCACTCAGCCCTTCATCCAGGCCGCCCAAGAACTTACTAATTAGCATGCTGCTGTCTGTGCATACCACGTCTTCTGCCAAGTTAACCAACCTTCCGAAGTACGTTAGCAGTGACTCACTCTCCCCTCGCCTAAACTCTTGAAACTCTCTTATCCTATCAGCCGTGTGCCCAGGGAATTGCTTCCTTAGCCACTCCAGGAACAACGAGGTCGGGTCCTCGTCATCCTCCTCCGCCCGTCTCAACCATTCCGTCATCTTCATCCGGTACAGCGTCTCTGCATCTCCTCCCAAGGTATTGGATAAGCTTAGAAAGAACTCAATTGGATCCATCCCGCTCCGATCGCACCGATACTTCATGTTGCCTATCTGCATGAGATAATTCTTTAGTCCCGTCCCTGTCCCCGCGTTCCCTGTGAATCTGACAGGTACCTCCACCTTGGGCAGCTCCATGGCGCTCCACCTCCCCTTCTCCCATGTCACCGACACCCCTCTGTCCGTCTGACTGTTCCTTCTGCCCCACGCTTCCGATCCCTTGCTCCTCTCCCTTACATCATACAGCATCTGCTCCATACTTTCTCTGGCCGCTCTTGCTCCTGCTAAGCTTCCCCCCGCCCCCCATGGCCTATCGTGCCTATCTGAACTTGGGCTTCTCCTCATCCTTTCCCGTATTGTATTCTGACTTTCCTGCCCCTCCCTGAACCTTTCCTTTTCATCAGGACGGAATCCCTGTCGGTGATGCTTCCCCTCACCACTCCGCTGGTGCTCTTGTCTGAACCACTTTTCTCCACCCTCGCTCTCTCCTCCCCTCAACTTCTCCCTCACTTTGTGCTGTCCCTCACCTCTCCCCCTCGTTTCTTCCCCTCTCTTTCTCCCTTTCATCTCTTCAGCTGCTTTCCTTGTCTCCCTACCCCTCTCTCCTGTTCCATACAGGATGCGGTTGATGCCCTCTCTGGCCGCCCTCGCTTCCCTAGAGCCCTCCCATGACTGCTGCGGCCTCCTATACCACACCGGACTCGGGCTTCTTCCCCGTTCATTCTCATACGCCTTCCTTCGCCTTTCTGAACCTCCCCTCTGCCCGTCCTCCCTTTTAGGCGAATTTTCCCTGCGACGCCTCTCCCGCTCTCCCCATTCTTGGCGGCTATGCTCCTCTCTTCCAGCCTCCTCACCTGGTGATAGCTCACGGCGATAGCACTCTCCCTCGCTCTTCCTGATTCGTCCCTCTCTCTCTTGTCGCCTCTTTGCCTCTCCTCCCAAATCCTTCACAGCCTCTGCCCTTCCTCGTGGGTGCACTTCCCTTCCTTCCCAGCTCACTCTTGCATCTGCTCTCGAGGTGCCTGGCGACGAACGGTCACCACTCCTGACCCGCGCCTCCCCCTGGTGACTCCGCCCCCATGCTGGCGAGCGCAGCTCGCGCCTTTCCTCATAATCTTCTTCTGCTTCCTCTTCCTGCCTCTCCGGCGATCGCCATCCGCCCATCGCCATGCGCCTCCTTCTCTCATGGCCTTGCCTTGGCTCGGGCGAGCGATACGCTTCTGCGGGTTCATGACATCGACCCTCATCTTCTCGACGCCCAGCTGCCGCGTTATCTGCCGCCATGTTCCCGCGACGCCTCATGCCACTCCCGCGCACCTCCTCTGGCGCACGATCTGCATCCGTGCGGCTCCCCTGGCGCCCCGTGCCACTCCTGCGCATCTCCTCTGGTGCGCGATCTGCATCCGCGCGACTCCCCTGGCACCTCACGTCACCTCCGCGCATCTCCTCTGGTGCGCGATCTGCATCCGCGCGACTCCCCTGGCGCCTCACGTCACCTCCGCGCATCGCCTCTGGTGCGCGATCTGCATCCGTGCGGCTCCCCTGGCGCCTCACGTCACCTCCGCGCATCTCCTCTGGTGCGCGATCTGCATCCGCGCGACTCCCCTGGCGCCTCACGTCACCTCCGCGCATCTCCTCTGGTGCGCGATCTGCATCCGCGCGGCTCCCCTGGCGCCTCACGTCACCTCCGCGCATCTCCTCTGGTGCGCGATCTGCATCCGCGCGACTCCCCTGGCGCCTCACGTCACCTCCGCGCATCTCCTCTTGTGCGCGATCTGCATCCGCGCGGCTCCCCTGGCGCCTCACGTCACCTTCGCGCATCTCCTCTGGTGCGCGATCTGCATCCGCGCGGCTCCCCTGGCGCCTCACGTCACCTCCGCGCATCTCCTCTGGTGCGTGATCTGCATCCGCGCGGCTCCCCTGGCGCCTCACGTCACCTCCGCGCATCTCCTCTGGTGCGCGATCTGCATCTGTCGCCTTCCCTCGCTCTTCGCGTTTTTCTCCGTGACCCCTCTCGCCTGCCTTGCACATGCTGCCCGGCGCGTCCTTTAGGTAATCCTCCGCCGACTCCTCGCCGCTGGCCTCGTTTGCTGACGTCAGCGACTCCGTCTCATCTGCGTCCTCCTGACGCCTTACTCCCGCGCCCCGCTGGCCTCTTGCCAGATCCCAGGGATCGCTCTTCGACGGCTGGGGTCCTGGCGCCGATCTCATCTGCAGACCGAGCTCGCCTTCACCGTGCAGTCCGTCACTGGTCGCCATCCAATCCGGCCGATCCGCCTCTCTGTTAGGCGAGCGACCTGACGCTCTTCCGCGCTCCTTTGAGCGCATCCTTCGTGACGACGGTATCTCCCGCCGCGAGTACGTCTGCTGCCACCGCAGCTCATGGCAGTCCATACTGCCGATCTGGTTCTCTCGTTTGTGAGGGATTCTGCCTCCCCCACGAATGGCTGCCCACAGTGGCTTAGTCGCCTAAGCTGGAGTTAGCTGTCAAATGGCAACCTATATCCACTATTACGAGCAAACAAACGAGAGAACGAACTAAGCAGTGAGTTCCTAGCCTATTTGAATCTCTACCCCGTGCCGTGCAGTTCCCGTAAGTCACATTGGGCTCCGCCCGCTAGGCTTCAGGATTGGCCCTTCGGATTGCCCAGGGCTCGCCCTTGAATTTGTCCCACCTCTGCGTTACTGCCCACGCACCGAACTCTCCTTCTACAGTGCTTCGAATACCCCAACTACACCTACACTAGCGAGTAACTGAATATATTGCAACTAACAATCTATTCGGTGACAGTCGGCTCAGAATTCGCCAGCCCTAATCCGACCCCTCTCCCCCTCCGCCTCCCTCCCACCCTGCTTGTAATGAGTCGAGTTTTGAGTCGGCTCAGAATTCGCCAGCCCTAATCCGACCCCTCTCCCCCTCCGCCTCCCTCCCACCCTGCTTGTAATGAGTCGAGTTTTGAGTCGGCTCAGAATTCGCCAGCCCTAATCCGACCCCTCTCCCCCTCCGCCTCCCTCCCACCCTGCTTGTAATGAGTCGAGTTTTGAGTCGGCTCAGAATTCGCCAGCCCTAATCCGACCCCTCTCCCCCTCCGCCTCCCTCCCACCCTGCTTGTAATGAGTCGAGTTTTGAGTCGGCTCAGAATTCGCCAGCCCTAATCCGACCCCTCTCCCCCTCCGCCTCCCTCCCACCCTGCTTGTAATGAGTCGAGTTTTGAGTCGGCTCAGAATTCGCCAGCCCTAATCCGACCCCTCTCCCCCTCCGCCTCCCTCCCACCCTGCTTGTAATGAGTCGAGTTTTGAGTCGGCTCAGAATTCGCCAGCCCTAATCCGACCCCTCTCCCCCTCCGCCTCCCTCCCACCCTGCTTGTAATGAGTCGAGTTTTGAGTCGACTCAGAATTCGCCAGCCCTAATCCGACCCCTCTCCCCCTCCGCCTCCCTCCCACCCTGCTTGTAATGAGTCGAGTTTTGAGTCGGCTCAGAATTCGCCAGCCCTAATCCGACCCCTCTCCCCCTCCGCCTCCCTCCCACCCTGCTTGTAATGAGTCGAGTTTTGAGTCGGCTCAGAATTCGCCAGCCCTAATCCGACCCCTCTCCCCCTCCGCCTCCCTCCCACCCTGCTTGTAATGAGTCGAGTTTTGAGTCGGCTCAGAATTCGCCAGCCCTAATCCGACCCCTCTCCCCCTCCGCCTCCCTCCCACCCTGCTTGTAATGAGTCGAGTTTTGAGTCGGCTCAGAATTCGCCAGCCCTAATCCGGCCCCTCTCCCCCTCCGCCTCCCTCCCACCCTGCTTGTAATGAGTCGAGTTTTGAGTCGGCTCAGAATTCGCCAGCCCTAATCCGACCCCTCTCCCCCTCCGCCTCCCTCCCACCCTGCTTGTAATGAGTCGAGTTTTGAGTCGGCTCAGAATTCGCCAGCCCTAATCCGACCCCTCTCCCCCTCCGCCTCCCTCCCACCCTGCTTGTAATGAGTCGAGTTTTGAGTCGGCTCAGAATTCGCCAGCCCTAATCCGACCCCTCTCCCCCTCCGCCTCCCTCCCACCCTGCTTGTAATGAGTCGAGTTTTGAGTCGGCTCAGAATTCGCCAGCCCTAATCCGACCCCTCTCCCCCTCCGCCTCCCTCCCACCCTGCTTGTAATGAGTCGAGTTTTGAGTCGGCTCAGAATTCGCCAGCCCTAATCCGGCCCCTCTCCCCCTCCGCCTCCCTCCCACCCTGCTTGTAATGAGTCGAGTTTTGAGTCGGCTCAGAATTCGCCAGCCCTAATCCGACCCCTCTCCCCCTCCGCCTCCCTCCCACCCTGCTTGTAATGAGTCGAGTTTTGAGTCGGCTCAGAATTCGCCAGCCCTAATCCGACCCCTCTCCCCCTCCGCCTCCCTCCCACCCTGCTTGTAATGAGTCGAGTTTTGAGTCGGCTCAGAATTCGCCAGCCCTAATCCGACCCCTCTCCCCCTCCGCCTCCCTCCCACCCTGCTTGTAATGAGTCGAGTTTTGAGTCGGCTCAGAATTCGCCAGCCCTAATCCGACCCCTCTCCCCCTCCGCCTCCCTCCCACCCTGCTTGTAATGAGTCGAGTTTTGAGTCGGCTCAGAATTCGCCAGCCCTAATCCGGCCCCTCTCCCCCTCCGCCTCCCTCCCACCCTGCTTGTAATGAGTCGAGTTTTGAGTCGGCTCAGAATTCGCCAGCCCTAATCCGACCCCTCTCCCCCTCCGCCTCCCTCCCACCCTGCTTGTAATGAGTCGAGTTTTGAGTCGGCTCAGAATTCGCCAGCCCTAATCCGACCCCTCTCCCCCTCCGCCTCCCTCCCACCCTGCTTGTAATGAGTCGAGTTTTGAGTGGGCTCAGAATTCGCCAGCCCTAATCCGACCCCTCTCCCCCTCCGCCTCCCTCCCACCCTGCTTGTAATGAGTCGAGTTTTGAGTGGGCTCAGAATTCGCCAGCCCTAATCCGACCCCTCTCCCCCTCCGCCTCCCTCCCACCCTGCTTGTAATGAGTCGAGTTTTGAGTGGGCTCAGAATTCGCCAGCCCTAATCCGACCCCTCTCCCCCTCCGCCTCCCTCCCACCCTGCTTGTAATGAGTCGAGTTTTGAGTGGGCTCAGAATTCGCCAGCCCTAATCCGACCCCTCTCCCCCTCCGCCTCCCTCCCACCCTGCTTGTAATGAGTCGAGTTTTGAGTGGGCTCAGAATTCGCCAGCCCTAATCCGACCCCTCTCCCCCTCCGCCTCCCTCCCACCCTGCTTGTAATGAGTCGAGTTTTGAGTCGGCTCAGAATTCGCCAGCCCTAATCCGACCCCTCTCCCCCTCCGCCTCCCTCCCACCCTGCTTGTAATGAGTCGAGTTTTGAGTCGGCTCAGAATTCGCCAGCCCTAATCCGACCCCTCTCCCCCTCCGCCTCCCTCCCACCCTGCTTGTAATGAGTCGAGTTTTGAGTCGGCTCAGAATTCGCCAGCCCTAATCCGACCCCTCTCCCCCTCCGCCTCCCTCCCACCCTGCTTGTAATGAGTCGAGTTTTGAGTCGGCTCAGAATTCGCCAGCCCTAATCCGACCCCTCTCCCCCTCCGCCTCCCTCCCACCCTGCTTGTAATGAGTCGAGTTTTGAGTCGGCTCAGAATTCGCCAGCCCTAATCCGACCCCTCTCCCCCTCCGCCTCCCTCCCACCCTGCTTGTAATGAGTCGAGTTTTGAGTGGGCTCAGAATTCGCCAGCCCTAATCCGACCCCTCTCCCCCTCCGCCTCCCTCCCACCCTGCTTGTAATGAGTCGAGTTTTGAGTGGGCTCAGAATTCGCCAGCCCTAATCCGACCCCTCTCCCCCTCCGCCTCCCTCCCACCCTGCTTGTAATGAGTCGAGTTTTGAGTGGGCTCAGAATTCGCCAGCCCTAATCCGACCCCTCTCCCCCTCCGCCTCCCTCCCACCCTGCTTGTAATGAGTCCAGTTTTGAGTCGGCTCAGAATTCGCCAGCCCTAATCCGACCCCTCTCCCCCTCCGCCTCCCTCCCACCCTGCTTGTAATGAGTCGAGTTTTGAGTCGGCTCAGAATTCGCCAGCCCTAATCCGACCCCTCTCCCCCTCCGCCTCCCTCCCACCCTGCTTGTAATGAGTCGAGTTTTGAGTCGGCTCAGAATTCGCCAGCCCTAATCCGACCCCTCTCCCCCTCCGCCTCCCTCCCACCCTGCTTGTAATGAGTCGAGTTTTGAGTCGGCTCAGAATTCGCCAGCCCTAATCCGACCCCTCTCCCCCTCCGCCTCCCTCCCACCCTGCTTGTAATGAGTCGAATTTTGAGTCGGCTCAGAATTCGCCAGCCCTAATCCGACCCCTCTCCCCCTCCGCCTCCCTCCCACCCTGCTTGTAATGAGTCGAGTTTTGAGTCGGCTCAGAATTCGCCAGCCCTAATCCGACCCCTCTCCCCCTCCGCCTCCCTCCCACCCTGCTTGTAATGAGTCGAGTTTTGAGTCGGCTCAGAATTCGCCAGCCCTAATCCGACCCCTCTCCCCCTCCGCCTCCCTCCCACCCTGCTTGTAATGAGTCGAGTTTTGAGTCGGCTCAGAATTCGCCAGCCCTAATCCGACCCCTCTCCCCCTCCGCCTCCCTCCCACCCTGCTTTTAATGAGTCGAGTTTTGAGTCGGCTCAGAATTCGCCAGCCCTAATCCGACCCCTCTCCCCCTCCGCCTCCCTCCCACCCTGCTTGTAATGAGTCGAGTTTTGAGTCGGCTCAGAATTCGCCAGCCCTAATCCGACCCCTCTCCCCCTCCGCCTCCCTCCCACCCTGCTTGTAATGAGTCGAGTTTTGAGTCGGCTCAGAATTCGCCAGCCCTAATCCGACCCCTCTCCCCCTCCGCCTCCCTCCCACCCCGCTTGTAATGAGTCGAGTTTTGAGTCGGCTCAGAATTCGCCAGCCCTAATCCGACCCCTCTCCCCCTCCGCCTCCCTCCCACCCCGCTTGTAATGAGTCGAGTTTTGAGTGGGCTCAGAATTCGCCAGCCCTAATCCGACCCCTCTCCCCCTCCGCCTCCCTCCCACCCTGCTTGTAATGAGTCGAGTTTTGAGTCGGCTCAGAATTCGCCAGCCCTAATCCGACCCCTCTCCCCCTCCGCCTCCCTCCCACCCTGCTTGTAATGAGTCGAGTTTTGAGTGGGCTCAGAATTCGCCAGCCCTAATCCGACCCCTCTCCCCCTCCGCCTCCCTCCCACCCTGCTTGTAATGAGTCGAGTTTTGAG